CCTGCTGAATTCTCTCAGCTCGTGAACTCCTCCCTCCCTCACCCAACTTCCACATGCTCTTAATGTTTTTCACTTGCTGCCTCAAATGAGCAATGCCATAATTCGAGATTGCTAATTCAGTGAGCATCTCAGGCCACCGGATCAGGAGACAAAGTTTGCTGATAGAACGTGTCTTCCTTACGCAGGAGTTGAAGGCATGGTACATTGGCCCTCTGAGAAAACTCTTGCAAATGGAAGGATTACAATAATTAGTGCTTCCTGTTATCTAGTGACAGAAGAGTGTTTCATGAGGGAGAAGTTTCTCTGGGGTTGGAATCTTAAGCAATCAAGTTTATTCTAGACAGCAAAGATCAACCTTGTTGAAATTTGTACACTGTTTGTAGGCCAGTCATTTTGGCTGTCATCTTGCCTTACTTAAAAAAAACAAAACAAAACAACACTAAAAATTTAAATTGATTGTCTCTGCCCCTCTTAAGCCAGTGGAGAGAGTTTGGGCAACTCAGTGGGTTGTTCCTATCCTAAACCAGGTCAGTAAGGTAAGTGGGAGGAAACCTGGAGCAGCAGCTTTCGTTAGATGCCTCACTTTTGTTTGGTGAATGCTTGGTGAGATGAATCCACATACAACACTGCCCATCAAAGGGAACATATCAAGAGCAAGATCAGAATTAGTTTACCTGCTTAAATGGCCTGATTTCTGGGCTTTTTCAGGGGCATTGGTTATTCTGTATGAGGTGTTCGAATATATTACTTTTCAGAGGAGCTGGATGTTGTAGGATACGGACCCCGAGTGCTTTGTGACTACTATTGGCTGAACTGTGCCGGTGTGGACACTGCACAAAATCTTAGTGGTTTGGATAGTCAATGGGCTGTTCTTAGCCACCTTTAGATATACCAGTCAGGTAATTCGTTCATGTCTCTAGAAAAGACCCCCTCTTGGACCTCAGAGTGGCCCCAGAATCCAGAGCAGTAGTAGTCAGGTAATCAGTGATGTGGCTAAAATGAAGAAGTTTAGCAAAAGAGATGTAATCTGAGTTCTGCTCAAAGTTTGGACATGTTCGTATTTGTGAGCTTAGTTGAAGCCCATCACTAAACTATTTCCAATCAGATACGGAAGTCTGGAGGTTTATTGAAATTACTTGGAATTTCTTCTGCTCTGCTCCAATAGTTTCTTCCCTCTCTGCTCCAATAGTTTCAGCAGCTGAGCTGTATCAGACTCTGCCTGCTATAGATAAACAAATATATGCCCAGAGCCCTGTCTGAACTGTTCCTCTTGCAGCAGGCTCCTTTCCTAGATTAAAAAAAGTACCCTGATTAAACCACGATTAACAGGGAAAGGCGCCTGTCAAAAGGAAGTACTTGTCTCCACGGAAACCACAGTGTTCTGGGTTAATTGATCTTTCTTTCCTCAGGACTGACTGGGAGCCTCCAGACAAGAAGGTGGACACCAGAAAATACCGTGCAGAGCCCAGGAGCATTTATGACTATCAGCCAGGAAAGTCCTCAGTTCTGAACAATGAAAAGATGGTAATGTTTGTGTTAATCCTAGTTTGTGGCTTTATCCTATGATTGTAAAATAATCCCCAAGTGCTTGTCCAGTTCCATTTGGATAGGATTCCTTATGCTTATATTGCAGTGCTCGTGTGATGTATTTCCTGTATATTTTGTTTTGAAAACTGTTTTGCATAACTTCCTAACATTTTTGTTCTCTATAAAGCAAGATCCAGGGGGACTGAGAGGCTTCTTTCCTTTTGGACGTGTTGTTTTCTGTGTTAAGTATGGATCACTAACCCTAGTTTTTAATCCATGTTTGACACTGTGACCTGTTCAGCAGCTGTTTTGCCAGCTGTACTTTTTCTAGGGCACAGCATTAGTTGATGCAAGAGGGTTGAAGGCATTATGCAACAAAGCAGGCTGGTTCAGTTTCTATGTTCCTCTGATGCTTTAAACACCAGAGACTAATTTTTAGAGTGCCTGTAATGTGCCTCAGGGGATGCCTCTTAGGTGCATTAGGACATGACCATCCCCCTGGGCTGCTCTCTTCCTCAGCTGGATCTCACCACTTCTGTGGCAGAGGTGGCAGAACTGAATGGGAGCTGGCTCCCCAGCTGTTATGCCAGTGTTTAACCTGGAGCATTAAGTGAGCTGTTAACAATTTCAGCTTGAATTAGTAAGTAATACTGTGAATTGTGACAGCTAGGGGACATACAAAGGTCTCATTCTGCAGGCATGGCTGAGAAGTGATGCTAACCTGGTCATAAATCACCACAGCTCACTTAAGGTGTCCTTTAGTGGTACAAGTGTGACACTCTTAAGTGCTAGAAAATACTGAATGAGGTTACTAGTGAATAGCCAGTTTAGTACATAAAGATATAATTGTTCTATATAGGCATTAATTTGAAGGATTCAATTAGAAGCACTGACTGCATGTGAGATTCCAAATGTAAACTGGACTTTGTGCCTTAACAGCTCAGGCATTGATCCATGCATGGAGCAGGTAAAGGAATGCTCCTGAAAAACCTGCCAAGGATTTTACACAAGAGTGAACAGCAATTTAAATCAATAGAAATGTAAGAATCCAGTCTGATCTGGGACCTGATGTTTCTCCTTAGTATTTTGGTGGGTTTTATTTTTTCCTTCCAAGTGCAATCAAGGTGCATCACTTTTTGGAGATCCTGCAACCAACTTCTTTTCACACCCATGTCCCTTCATTGACTTCAACAAAGTTGCTCCTGATAGGAGCGTGATGCTAGTGCTTATTGAAGTGGGCGATGGATGACTCTCTCTTGATGCTACTGGGCGTTGGCTCAACCTATTAGAGAAGTGCCAGTGAGGAGTGGTTTGAACACAGTATGACATCTCCGTTCCTGCAGTCCATCCTGGAGCAAGATTTCTGCTGACTTAAGTGGCAATTTTGTCTCACGGTAAACAGCCAAGATTAAACTTTGCGGCAAAAGGCCTGCTTCATCTGTGTACTTAAGCCTTTGCAAAGGGTCTGTCATCACCAGTGGCACTGTTTACATGTTCAGACTTCATCAGGTACTTAATTGAGCTGTTGAATCGGAGTCTAAAAGCCACAAGCAGGACCATCATCAGCGTAATTGAGAAAAATTATACAGAGCTCATCAAAACCAAGAAGAATGAGATAGCTGTGTTCCTTCCAATGTTATTTTTTGAGCTTTAATTTCAAGCTATAGATCACAGAAGAAAGAAGGTCTTGAAATAGTGGCTTTGTGGTCTCCATCAGTCTCCTTAAATACAACAGTAATACAGTGGTTAGCGACTAGACCTTTCAAGGAGGCTGCAGGAGATTTGTGGACATCTCCTGGTAATCACACCCAGAGCTGTGACTATCAGAATCCCAATTCAAAACCATTTCAGAGCAATGAAGAGCCTCCCGTTGACGTCAGTGGGCTTTTTTTTAATGTAAAGGCAGTTACATAACAAGATGAGTACTTCTAGTTGGAGTGCAGTAACGACAAAAATGGAGGCATTGCTTCTATTTTGCCTTTAAGGAATAGCCAAATCTTCCTCCAGGCCATTGGAGATCAAACACGATGTAACCATTTATCTTTCAGATTGAAGCATTGCCCCTCTTTCAGCATCAATCATGCCTAATGGCTGTGGCAGAGTCTGGGACACCTAGCAAAGCCCAGCACTGTTGGGAACTCCCCCCTGCCTCAGTAACCCCCTCACAGGACGATTTGCATCAGGACACTTTGTGTTGGCCTTCTGTGAATGTGTGTGGCTCGTTGCTTGTTGTGATGGAGCACTTGAGATCACACTGGCATATCAGACATAATGTATTTCTGTTTTTAATGCACTGAGATCCATTATGTCTAAGATTAGGTACACTGAAATGTAAGAGTTAGCTAGATATCTTTTGGGGAGTGACACCTCATATCCCTCAGCAGTGGACTTTATTCTCTTATTTCACCAGTAGTGTTTTTAAACAGCTACAACTATTTCAACTTTTTTTTGTTTCATTAAAACAGATTGTATGAACAAAAGGGAATTTCCTTTTCAACTGTACTGTTTTCTGTTCTGTCTGATTTTCCTTTGTTGTGGTTTTGTCTGATTCTCTAACATTTATTTGTGAAGAAATGAGTAATATTGTCTCTCTATCCATCCCTTCAGAGATCTTTCAGGGATGTGCTCTCTCTGACTTGTGTCTGCTTTGATTTAGAAAACCACCTTTCACTCTGTTTGCAGTGTATAGAACAGGGTTTCTCACATATTCATGTGCTGTTAAAGATGCAGTATTTGATTCAGGTCTCACTGAATCTCTCTTTTTTAACCAAATGAAGATTAAAAATCTTTTTTAAAGTACATGCAGCTTTGGACTCGATGGAAGTGTCTGACAGTAGGACTGAGGGACTGGTTGACTCCTAGCTCTTCCATTGAGTCTCCCTGTGACTCTGGGCAAGCTGCATAATCTCTCTCTGTGTGGGTCTCCTGATCTGTAAAATGCAATTCATTCATATTCATGTTGCTCACAATGATGCCATTAGGCTTAACTGATGTTTGCAAAGCAGTTCATGGCCTTTGTGAGAGAGGTGCTATAGAAATTCCAAAATATAAGGCTAAATATCTACATTTTAGAATGGAAACCATGGGATCTGCATCTCTAACAGTCCCTTTTCGTGTATTCTTTGCATAATGTTATCCTTCTCTTTCTTCCATTCCCCTATCACCAACTCCTTTAGACTCGGGAAATAAGCCCAGAAGAGATAGATTTAAAGAATGAACCTTGGTATAAATTCTTTTCGGAATTGGAGTTTGGGAAACCGGTAAGTTTGATAGTTGCGATGACCAATGAAGTCAACCTGCCCTTTTTTTTTTTTTTTTTTTTTTTTTTTAATGATTGTCACATCTCTTTGCTAGGCCCTAAACCTGGAACAGCTGCCTTATTCATTTAAAAATGTGATTGTTCATAATATCATCCCGGTACTGATGTAAAGCAGCCGTTCTGTGACCACTTTAAGTATTTTGAAACCATTTACAAACACTCCCCACCTTCCAGCCATATGTATCAACAAGGCAATTTTTTTTTCACACATCATAGTTCAAGCTGCATTTTTGTTGTTAACATCAGAAGTAATGCCCTGTTCTCATTATTGAAAGTCCCTATTCAAAGCCTTTATTCTCCCTCTGCCTAACAAGATCCAGGATGGCTGATAGGTAGCTTTAAGTCAAGGAGAATCATTCCTTTATTCCTGGCCTTGGCTTGTAAACTGTAGGTCGGTAATTTCCAGCTATCCATAAACAGATCATGACCCTGTTTCCTGCTCATTTCCTTATACATGTAGCTGTCCACTGCCTAAATAGAGTGCATCAGTCTGTGTTGAATAGCCCTTGCCATTCCCTGAAACCAAAGAAGTCTGAGAACAGTGTGCTTTCTTTTCAAATGGAGCTGTGTTGCTATGTGTAGGGGGGAAAAAAAAAAAGCCTTGATTTCCCATTCTGGAAAAAGATGAAGGAAAGCTTAATTATTCCATAGGACAAAGGACATTTTGATGGAGGGAATACATCAGTGGTCATGGCTACTGGAAAAAATGTGACTTTAAAGCATTTTATGGCCTGGTTCTTACTGATAAAACACTGCTGACTTCATTATCGAATACTGTTTGATAAGCTACTCTTACTGCACCAGAGGGTCAGTATCAACCTCTTGCATCTATTCAGGTATAGTGGTTGTTTCTCCTTTCTCCTTGAGGTCAGTTGTCAAATGCCCATGCACACCATTTTTGAGTGCTGCTGAGATTTCCCTGCATGTACAACAAAACAGAAATACATCTTAAGGTTTAGTACTGGCTTCAAAAGCAACTGCACATAGACACCAGAGAGCAGGTTTTCTTTAAATCTAGTCTTTGTTCTCACAGAGGCAACAGAATTCCTCTGCACAGAATGTAGCTGCGTGAGGTTGGGTGCCCGGTCTGACCGTATCATAGAAATAGTGTAATTTTTGCTGAAAAACAAACATGTACAGTGGCTGGGTAGTCCATTCTGTCATAGAAAACTATGTTTTATAGCTATGGACCTTCCATCCTAAGCTAAAGAAGGAGCTTCAACAGTGTTTGAGATGAGACCCCCTAACTTTTAGGCAGTAGAAGTCAGATAAATCCCACCTCACTGAGGCTTTTAAGTGATGTCAGTCTAAGAAACCCTTCACAAGTTGTCATGGTTTAAGATTTCCACAAAGCAAGAAGAAACCTGCTTCTCTTTTCTACCGTGTAATTAATAGCCATATGCTCTTGGAATGAATGAAGGTTTGTCATCTCTATGATCCTTCGAGTTAGTGTAAGTTAATGGAAAAAAGTGTCAGAGAAAGGAGAACATTTATGCCCTTGGGCCTTTCTAGAAGTGAGGGTATATCTGTTCCTTAGAAGTGTGTGTTTGTGCTTTTAGTCATGCAGCCTTGGCCTTACTTAGAAGAGGGCATTTCAGGCTACAGCAGCAATCCATCTCTCGTTCAGCAGAGCATCTGTTCTGGTGACAAGTTCCCCACCTTGCTCAGGGCACTGTTGCTAAGGGCTGCTTTCGTACAGCTTGTGTTGAAATGATATCCCATGTCAACTTACTCTAGCTCCAAAGCCATGCAACTATGCTCCCTGATCAACTACGCCAACCCATGAATGTGATACTATGTACGTAGTGCTTTGGCATTACATCAGGCACTTGAGTTGAGGATGTCATTTCAGACTTTTACAGCTACCTGCTCTGGAACATGACAGAAATTCAGCAAAGCTCCCTGTGAGCTTCGTTACCTGAGCCAAAAGAGCATGGTTTATGTAGCTTTGCTTACTCAGGTCACAAGAGGACCAGATTTTTGTGACCAGCTAGTGGCTAAGCCCCATGCCTAATCAGAGCGTTTTAATGGACGTTTACCAGCACCTGGGATTTTCAAAGATTCTCTGTTTGTCCCAGCTTTTTTTTCCAATGCTGGAGATAATGTGTACTTATACAGGATAATTTCCACTGGCTTTCTGACTTTATTTGCAGCTATATGACATGGGCAGGAAAATCCTTGGTAAAAGGAAGCACAGGATTCTTGTTGAACCTGTGGGTGTTGCGCTCCAAACACATCAATGACCAGGATGGGGCTTTCCCCATTGAGGAAAGAGCATGCACTTCCTAAGGCAGCTGAAGCGACACTTTGCTGGACCAGCATCCCAGATGCATTTCTAGGCCAGTCCGTGGACAGGCACGTGCCCTGCAGACAGGTAGACCAATCTCTGCAGCATGGATGTTTTTTCAGTGTGCTGCTGAGACTGAGTCCCCACGCAGTCTGTCCTTCCTTCCTCCTGACCTGTGGCTCCACAGCTCCATGGAGCCCATCCACAAAACTTGACATTCGGTCAGTCTAGAGCTCAGTTGTCTTCCATTGTGATTGTGGGCTCACACACATGGGCACTTTCTCCCAGCCCTTCCTGAGACAGCTCTAAGTAACCTCTTTGTTATAAATGGAGAAGCAGGGGGACTGGAAAAAGGGGTGCATGTCCTGCCTTCTCACCTCCTTGCCTCCAGTTCCTCCCTTCACATCTCAAAACTAACTCTTTGCAGCACCATCTACCTACCTGCAGCTGCTGATCTGATGGATAAGAAATAGGTATTTATGGTGTTTGCAATCCACATAGTGGCTGTCCAAATATAGAAGTGGGCTGGATTCAAACTACCGATCCAGGCAGTCTAGAAACCAGAAGGAATTTACACCAAGACCCAAGTGCTGTAGCTCAGTCTCGCCTTTGATAAACTGACACTAGGAGGTTCCCTGTCAGTGACTCAGAGACAATCTAGTCACAGAAGTCAGTATGGACATGTAGGATGATGCTAAGCTTGCCAACCAACAGAGGTTATTTTTGTTTGGAAACAGAGCAAATGTATTCTGATTTCACAAAGTAAGAATAAAGTCGCTTTGAGCATATCAGTGAGAGGTGCATATCTGGTGAAATGAGGATATTAGCGTGGCATTATTTGGATAGGAGTGTCAGGACAAACGTCTTTCAATAATCCTCCTGGATATTTACATGTGCATCCAAACAGGAAAATCCTATTTTGAAATTGGTGCCTTCACCTATAGGATGAATTTTAAATAACAAGGTCCCAAACTTCCATGTTTCCCACTCTCTCCACCAACCCCCCCCACAAACAAGCCCCCAGACCAGTGAAATAATAACAACTCTGCATTCTCATTGCCCCACAATGCCACCACTGGAAATTCAGCCATTTGTTCACATGGTATGTATTCATAGTCTGGCGGGGGTGGGAAAGATTCTCCCTTTTCTTTATCAAAGGCCCTTGTTTTACCCTTTCCTTTTGAAAAGAAGAATGAGCAAAACAAATGCTTTTTATGACTGTGTGGTTTTTTCCCCGTGTTGCTTTGTTTTTGTGTTAAGAATGCTTTAACCACCAGCTGTGGGCTCCCTCTAGAGAGTCCAAAATCCCTTAGAGCACCTTGCAAAAATAGAAATTTCCTCAAACACTACTGAAAACGCCCCCTCCCAGACTGCATGTATGCTCCTTTTGCCTCTCATGATCTCTTGATATTTGTGCTATAGCAGATTTATCCCTCTTTCAATCTCTCTTTCTCTGTTGTGGTTTTTTTTTTTTAATTTCTTTTCAGTGTTGATGCAAATCCCCTATTGTATTCCCCCTCTGTTCTAATCCAGTTTCCATATTCTCTGTGATGTCTTTCCTTATCTTCATTTCCTCATTTCCTTCCTCTGCTTTCCATCAGCCTCCAAAAAAGATTTGGGATTATACTCCTGGAGATTGCTCTATCCTTACTAGAGAGGATAGAAAGGTAATTGTGTCTCACATACGTTGTACTACAGCATCTAGCGCGTATGTATGTGTGTACGTGGTTTTCTTTTTCATTTTTTTTTGGTAGCATTGCTTGGGTTTTGTGTGCTTGTGAGTGATTTTTTTAATTGGGTTTGAGCTCATTAGCCTAACAATTAAGTAGCTAGTAAATTGATTTAATAAGCAATTCTTAAAACATAATCAGCCATAATTTAGAGTGGTGGTTTTGCTATCTTGACTTGCAATGATAATTATACTAACAGCATATTGCATATTGTTACAGTATTTTTTTTTTTTTTTTTACAGGTGGGTTTTATAACTTTATGGTTTGTAGAATTAGATTCTAGCAGGCCTGTGCATCTCTTAATTTTGAATGTTAAATGCCTAAAACTATTTCCTCTGTAATGATTGAAACATGATTAATTACTAGTGAATTTCTGTGTATTGTCCATACCATCTTTGTCTTTTTTCAATTAAAAAGGCTCGCCTTTTTTTTTTTTTTCAAAATTAACATTCCTTTGGTTTCCCCTAACCCTAAGCATTATTTTCCCATTCTTCTTCTCCTTCTTTAACCAGACTGATCTAGAAAAAGACCTCTACCTCTACCAGACTGAGTTAGAGGCAGATTTAGAAAAAATGGAGAAGCTTTATAAAGCGCCACATAAAAAGCCACAGAAGGTATTTCCTATTCTTTTCATGCTGCCAATCCCTGTTTCCAAACTCTCTTGCTCTAATCTGTTCACTGCTGGATGATTATTAAATGAGGTTGGGATAAATAATGGTTCTGACCATTCTGACTGCATGGCTTGCTGTGTCGCTGTCAGAAATAATAGAACGTGATGCTGAGAATCCGGCTTGAAATCCATTTCAGATGCAGTGATTTCCTCTCTCCCCTGTTCCCTTTCAGCTGCCCCCCACCCCCACCCCCGTCCTCCTTTAGGGTTTTGAGTTCAGTGTCTGCAAAAAAACCCTCTCTATTTTTCACATGAATAGGCAGCAGCAATCAGCTTAAAATTCTTGGTTGGGTCACGTCATCATCTCGTGCCTTTCAAGCGTGTTGCCATCTACGTTCCCCTCATACAAGCCCTGCTCTCTGCTAGGAGCTCACGCCTACCCAAGATTTGGATATTCCCAAGAGATTTTACACAATTTTCCTCATGCTGCACCTTGCCATGGCATTCTAGGGCAGGTCAGCTGCTGCTGCTGTTTCGAGGGTCTGCAGGACTTGAACCATGAAATGATAGATTAATTTGGTAACACGCCATTTTTTCTATTTTTTTCTGTTGTTGATTTTTTTTTTTTGAAGCTGCGGCATTTCACCAGGACTTGAAAAGGCTGCTTTTTCAAACCCAAGATTTGCTTTTTCTTCCTACATGGGAATCCTCAGATAGATGAGGGGACGCCAAATAGAGCATTTCTTCTAGAATTGCCTTTAATTTTTTAAATAATGTGCCTAGGAAGTGTTAGGTGGATTTAAAGCAAACGGATAAGAACTGGCTTTTGCTATTGAACCTGTGCAGCTGGCATTGCTTCTCTTAAGTAAGGAAACGGAACTGAAATGTTGCTTTTCTTGTTAGTGCTTTGATATTTTTTGAACGCTGAGGAATGTATTGTGCTGCAGAAATGTAATATACCTTTAAAGCAAAGGCGGGCAGTGACCGGTTGGGGGAAAAGCTTGGGGAAATAATTATGAGCATGTGTCTCCTGGTCATGGCCCAGCTGGTTATCTCTTCTTGCTTTTGGCTTTATTCACAATGACTCATTTGCAGACAAAAGAATAGGCGCTGCAAAAAGGCATGGGCTGTGCTAAAAACCTGTCACTGCCCTGAAGGAAGTCAGGAAAATTGTCGCTTTTCTGCAAAGACATTGACAGCTTAAATTGCATTTAGACTTAAACCTCAATGTCTCCTAAAAGCTAATATTCAAGCAATAGATGTAAAATTACTTAAGCAAGCCTTTTTCTTTCTCCTCACATGTAAGTGTGTATCAATGACTCCTTTGTTTGGACTTTTGCAGAACACAGCAGGTGTTACTCCTCTGGAAACTTCCACAGACCATTCTTCCTAGTAAGTTTTCCAATTGCTTTTTGATGTCTCTTTTACCATTGGAGGGCATGTAGGACAGGGTTTAGGGCATTGGAAGTGGGTTGGCTTTATTTTTTGGTGATGGATATAGACAAATGCATACACCATGAGAATTATACACGTGCTTTAGATGAGTCCAGGTACAATATCTGCTATTTGATCTTGAATGAATTTTGAAGTGATTACATGAGTGATTGCATTGTCTAGGTAAGAATTGCAGATTGTGCTATGCAGTGACTTAAAAAAAAAAGGAAGAACAGACCTTTAACTCCATCTTGATGAAGTTTGCAAATTGACCGTAACTTCATACAAGTAACTTTATTGTGTGGAATAAATGAAGTTTGTTTCTGTTACACATGTATGATAGATTGGCTTCCGTTAGATATTCCCAGTTATGAGCACCAGATCAAAAGGATGCTGTTGATGGAAGGCAATAATTTTCCAGCTTCCAGGAAGGGAACAGTGGTAGCAGTAACGATATTTCTCAAAGATCTTATGTGGCACTGCTTTCTCTGGAGGAATATGTGATAAACAGTGTACTCTGTCTAAATGAGTTGTACATGGAGCTGGTTTGTTTTAAAAGAGGAACACAAAAAAAAAAAAACCAAAATCCAGAGCAAGATGGTGAGCTGTACTGAGTTACTTGAGCTGTGGAGCCAGCTCCTATTGCAAACCTGCTGCTCCTTGTAATTGGACTGAGTGCTTAATGTTGTCCACAGGGACAGTGATCCCCTCTGTGTGGATGGTTTGTTAGGAAAGGCATGTTCTTCTCCAGATGCCCGTTAATACCACATGTGTTCACCACCCCTTGGGGTCTGCCTTAGAGGTCTCCTGTACTTCTTTCAACTCAGTTCCCTTCTGCCTGTGTTCATTCTGCTGGGAAACTTGCACACTGCTGCGTTTTGTTGGTTGCTCCTGTGACTGTTTACTTTTGTTTTGGTAGGGAGAGAGCAATAAAATAAATGGAAATCTCAGAGATTAGTATAAAAGAATAGCTTATATTTGCCAAAGACTGGTAAGGTTTCTGCCCACAGCAGCACTGTCTGTGTCCTTTCTGACACCACCCAAAGCATGCAGGAGTGCCAGCATCTGAGCCAGTGGAGGGGAAGCAATCTGGGTAGGCTGGGAATGGGACAAAACAGTGAGGCCCAGTGGAGTCATACATTCTTCCCTGCCCTGCCTTTAGAGAGCAGGGAGAAAAGTTACCTGGAGTTTATTGTCTTTTTTGCAGTGTCGCTCCTCCCTCTGTTCACCTGATTCTGATCTTGCAGACTGCCTTGGCCCCCACAGTACTGCTTGCTGGCCCTAATGAGAGAGCAACTGGTAAAGAGACTCTGCCAAATGCCTCCTCTCTCACCCCGAGGTGTATTCCCAAAGGAGGATCATTTTAACCCTTTGTTTTTTAACAACTAGGCTAAAATGCTTTTACCTCCCAGGTGAGGAACTTCAAGGCAGTCATTATTCTCTGCAGCAACTGGCAGGGCTTCCTCAGGAACCTGACAAAGAGAGACACTGGGATAACCCCCAGAAGACACACAGCTCTGTAGCTGTGGTTCTGTTTGAACATTGCCTAGGTTGAAAAAGTGACCATGTTCCCTTTCTCTTTTGTGGTGCTTTTCATGAGCTTTTACTCCAGAAAGTAATTGATGGGACCACATATGACCTAGTTTTCCTTGTCCGGAAACTAAAATCATCTTTGTGATCCAGACGTTGTGTAATTCCACCTCCATAGCCAGTCCTCTGATGTGTTTGAAAGCTTTCTCTTTACCCCATAAGTACAGTGTCTATCCAAAATAAACAGATGCATGTACAAATTTATCCACAACAAGCAGGCGTAACCACAAGCATTTCCACACCCACATAAATTTGAATCAGTCCTGGACATCAGGATGTAAACCAGCTTTCAGAATGTTTCCATGAATTTGCAAATGCCCTATTTTTTTTTATTTTTTCAGACTTTCCAGGAATCATGCTTTGGCCCCAGAATAGCTTTGTGTGAGACTGCATCTTATTCTGAAGAGCCTGGTTGAGCACAAGAACTGATATCAGATGAGCTTAGCTTTTAGGAGAACATTGTCTGCCTGATTTGCTCAGCAAGTCTTTTGTACCTGGAAAGGCCTTTTATACCATGGCATTGGCGGCTATTTTTTTAGAGAGAAAACAGTGAAATCTAGAAATCAGATGTGGAGGCATACTCGTGCTTAGATTCATGACTGAAGAAAGGGATTTGTAATAAATGTCCAGTTTTTAAAGGCCTAAGAAATTCAAATTGTATGCATTTTAACATCATTTTGTTTATATATCTGCATGATAGACCTCAAGTCCAGGATTTTTTATACCCTGTAGCGGAAGCCTGAGGCAAAGCTGAGCAGAACTGTGCACACCTGGGAACATCTTTGGCATTTAAAACAGTAGTGTCTATAGCCCTGTACCATTACTTCTCTGCATGGTCCCTCACTGATGGGCTTGAGAAATTGCTCTGGGAGTCTTGAACTACAGTGTTAACTGGGAGGCTGAACTGGTTGAGATGAACTCCTGAGCAGCTGTGCTTTGTAACCAGAGGACAGACGTGGCTAGTGTTTAAGGAGAGATGACTGGGAGCTGGAAGATATTTGTGCTACTTCCAGTTAGCCACTGAATTTCTTTGTGTCTGCAAAGAAATCATGCATCTGCTCTGTGACTCTGTTGCCTCATCTGTAAAATAAAGGAGGAGTGCTTTCCTGCCACCTGTTTTCTAGGCGGCTGAGCTGGGAGAGTTCCCTCAGGTGGGGAATGCTATGGTAGTGCCAAACCTAGAACATTATCTCAATGTATTCATAACCTCTTCATTCACCACCCGTTCTTCATACACAGGCTATTCTGGGCTCACAAGTGTGGTTTTCTCTTACTTTGCATGAAGCTCTCAGCAAACAGAAGTGACCCACTGGTGTCTCTTCCCCTTTTTTGTGTTTTCCAGCTCCACGTATTCACCCAACTACCATGCAGTGAAGAGGGAGTCAGAACCAGCACTGGGGGACCCTGCTGGCTTGGAGAATGAAAGGCAGATTTACAAGAGTGTGCTGGAAGGTGGAGATATCCCCTTCCAGGGGCTGAGTGGTCTCAAGCGACCTTCTAGCTCTGCTTCCACAAAAGGTAGGTGGTCAGGGCACTAACCTCTTCTCCATTCTGCAGAGTGTCAAAAGCCAGGTGATATGGGGCAAACTGCCACAGGGTTTAGAGTCTTATTCAAGCCAGTTGAGGTTTCCTCTGTCCTTCCTCTTTGCCATCCCCAGTTTTCCCTCCTTTTTTTCTCTCAGCCCACACTGGCCAATGTTTTTCATGACCCCTTAATCTGATCCAGGTTCCTCTTGCCAATAGGGACCAGCTCCCTCCATCTAGCACCTCAGCCACACCCCACACCCTCATGTTCTTCCTCGAGGCTGCTCAGGCTGGCCTTGCTATCTATCCGCTCCCACTGCCTTGCCATGCTAGAGCCCTTCCTTGCCTTTTCTGCTCTTCCTGCTGTGGTATCTCAGCAGGCCACACCATCTCTGCTGGCCTGGCTACCCTGATGTAGCTGGCACCCCGTGCGCTCCACAGCCTCCTGCCTGTGAGGGGTGTGCAGAGAATGCACAGGACACTGTGAACCAGCAATGCCCTGTGGGCTCCGAGAAAGTGAGGCAGCAGAGATGGCTGCATCTCCTCCCCTTTCCTCCCCGCATCGTGGGCTCTCTAGAAGATTAGGGCAAGGAAGAGCCTGACTCCCATCAGGGAGTTGTACTGGGGAATGCATCTCTGAGCCAACTTCAACCTAAAAATGGCTTGAGATGGGGAGAGGACTGGGGAAGGAATGTGTTCGGTTTCTGAACTGCTCTCCCTAAAAATAGTACATCACACCAAAAAGGTCTCTCTCTGTCTCTGTCTTCCAGCTGTTTTCCAGCATTATGTCAGGCCTGTAGGGCAGGGAGTCAAACTGGATCTGGACAAAAAAATCTGTTCAAACAGTTATTGTTCCCCAAACTGCAATTGAACCCAAATGGTTATTTTGACATTTGAGTTTGAACTCAAATTGGAAACAGACCTAAAAACTACAGTCTAAGCTGAACCCAGACTGGATCTGACTTTAAAAAACAATAATGTCCTGATCTGACTCCTTGATTTTTAAAGCAAACATGGCCAACCACATTGTCTGAAGGACACTCAGCTTATTCCTGGTATGGGGAATCTCTAAGCAGGCAGCTCTTGGGCAAGGCCAGCAGATGTGGCCTGCTTGTGCTACCACAGTCAGCCACAGATTGTCTTCTCCCTCCCAGGAATAAACTGTTTGGCAAGCAGTGTGGTGAGATGATAGCAGGTGTGATTACAGGCTTGGTATTAAGCCATATTTGCAATGTTAGTGCCTCTGCATTCTTGCTGACACCCTGATGCTGCCCAGAGTTCAGCTACCCTTTTCCATAGTGCTGCAGCTTCCCTGGAAGCTGATGATGCTTAGCACTTTTTAGGAGGGTACCTTCAAAGTGCTCTAGATCTGCTTCTGGCCAAGCCTCTCATTTTAGAGATATTAGCAACACTTCACCTGCTCCTGTAAGCGCGGCTTGTTGTGCAGTTTCTTCCTGCTTTTCCTTTTTTGGAACTTTGTTTCTTTAAAGTGCATTTTATGAAATCCAAGCATGTTCCTTCTCCTTTCTCAATAGCTTTCTAGCACTTAAGCTAACAGGTTGTATTTATTTTATTCTGCATGCTTACCAGTGGATCGTAAAGGTGGGAATGCTCATATGACTGCACCCTCTTCAGTTAATAGCCGAAACTTTAACGCTAGTCATACCGGTATGTTAGGTCACGCATGTAAACATAAGAAGCCCTTATCAGCTGCAAAAGCCTGCATTACTGAAATCCTCCCTTCTAAATTCAAACCCAAACTAGCAGCTCCAGCTGCTCTTGTGCAGGACAAGAAGGGTATCTTGCTGTCTCATGAGAAAGCTCAAAGCTGCGAAAACCTTCGTAGCTCCATTGCCTTGTTCGATAATAAAAAAGCTTTCATGGTAGACATAGGGGAAAGCATAGAAAACATGTTGATGAAGTCGAAGCAGGAGTATGCCATCAAATCCGGCAGTACCATGAGCCTGCAGGAGTATGGCACCAACTCTAGGAAAGGCTACCTGTTCCCTACCTCCAGGAAGAGTGGGATGGAGTTTACAGTGCTGTATAAAGACATGCATCAGATCAACCGGTCCAGGATCCATTTGGGCACAGTCTCCTCCTGCAGCGTCAGGGATATTGCATCTCAGTTTGAGAATGAAGCAACGGACAGGATGGAGCACAACCTTAGTCGAGAGGATTCAGAGCAGATCCCCAAACACACCGTTTCCTCCCGTATCAGTGCCTTTGAGCAGCTGATCCAGAGATCCCGATCAATGCCCTCGCTTGACTTTTCCACTGGACAAACCAAATTCACTGCTTCTCTGCAGTCTAAAACTTGTCTGAGTTCTGCCTACTCTGCAGAGTTTCTTCTGGATTTGCCAAAAGCACACCAAGAAGAAAAGGATGCTGCCAGCTTGGCAGATAAATCCTCCCACTCCTGCAGTAATGTGGAGGACACGGCTTCGGATGTCAGTGATGCCATCCCTATGGACACGCTTTCAGCTTGCACGGATGAGATAGATCTCCTCTCAAATGCATCCAATGACAGCGGCAGCAGCAGCAGCAACCTCAATGGGCCTCAGAAGCATAAAATCAACAGATGCAAAGGCGCGTGCCCAGCTTCCTACACCAGGTTCACTACCATCCGAAGGCATGAGCAGCAGCAGGCCTCCAGGAACCCTGATTCCAAAGGGGACATCTGTGGGGACAGACACATGCTCCCCAGAAACGTCTACCTAATGAGCCCGCTTCCCTTCCGATTGAAAAAGCCCTTCCAACACAAATCCTGCAGGACTCCACCCCCTGACTGCCCAGGAAGCCTGGCAGTGCCCAGCCCTGAGAACCCAGATGACCCCATACAGCTCCAGGGGAGCATAGGAGACAAGAGTCACCACTCCCAGCACCAACTGTGCTCCAGAAGCAGGCCTCTAGCCCCCAGGCGCCTGTCTTCCTTTGACATTGTGGAGAGGCTTAGCTACTTCCCCACCATGGGATCTAGCCGAGATAGCTTCATGGGCCGGGCTGGCACTCCTGACTCCTTAAACAATGGGAACCCTGTTCCATATGCTCTCTGTCACAGCCTGGACACAAACAACAACCCGCAAAGTGAACTTGGGACGTACCTAGGAGGTGGCTTTTTGTGTTCTTTACTAGTGTCCCTTCATCTGTCTTCTTGCTTTCCTTTCTCCTCCGCTTTTCTTCCACAACCCTTGCATTTTTACTCCCTGCCTTTGCATCCCCTGACTCTCTCTTTTTTTTTTTTCCCCCTAGTGTGTCTAACGTCCTTTGCGTGTCTTGCTGAGCATTTTTGTTCAGGACTTGTTAACAGCTGCACTTCTGAGAAACGATTTCCACTGCCTTTCTAATCACATCGGGTTCAGTTTGTCTCTCAAGCAACTCCAGGGATGCAAGAATCTCAACATGAGATATATCTAGTCCTGTATCATTTGCACACATGGGAATATAAAACAAACCCAGATGATTTGCTTTAAGGAGCAGTTTCTCAAGGTCTAGTTGTGTGTGCGTGCGTGTGTGTGTGTATTAAACTTTTCTCAACAGTAAAATGCCAAATCATACTTTGATGGCAGTGAATCTTTTCTTCACAAAGTCCTTCTATGTCTTTACTCTTTCCTGTACCGTTATTTTCTCCTTGTTTTGGGATCTTTGTTCACAAGTACAGCCCAAAAGGGAAAAAAAATTAAATGGATAAATTATCAACATCTAATTGGCAATGTGGTCAATGGCAATTGAGAATCCTTACTGTCATAATGGAAACAAATTTTTTAAAAATATCTATTTTTTTCCTTTCTGGTTATGCTAGATAAGCCCATCTGTATTTTAACTTCCTTATGTTGTTTCGAAGTAGATTCAGAATCACCAAGGCATTTTGCACCAGTTGATTACATGGAAACTCCAGAAGAAATTATCCGCAGACGGCATGACGATAAAGAGGTAATGCCCTCCTTTATGGCCCAGTAACAGTTTGCAGCCCCACATACAAGAAATATAGCATTCAGCCATACATAAGGACAGCTTGTATGTCCATGGCTATGTATATTGGAAGTTAGAGGAACAAACTGGAACTAGTATGTTTTAATTTTAATACTACCTCTGCCACTGATTTAACATATAATGTGTAGTCCAGTTTAGCTTTTGTTTAAAATGAACCTGATAGTTCTTATCAATTGCATAAAATGATACATGGGGGCTTTAAAGAATGTAAAAAGGTTGGAGATGTATGTGAGAGTGGTACAACACCCCAGTACTCGCAGATAAAGATGAAATGGTTATTCTGTAAGTGAGTTAAGGTTTTATTGTTCTCCAAGCAAGCCACTTGAGTCGGTATTAATCAAACTGGTGAGAAACAGTGTTTTTCTTGTGGGGGTCCTCAGGTTTTGAACAGCAAACGTAAGATATTTTAAGCTATCAGAAAGTGTGAAGTTTTCCCCCCAGTGCAAACTAGAATTCTTTATGGTGTGTCAAGTTGTTGATGACAGAATGTACCAGTCCTTTTTGAAATGGCTGGGCAACACTGGGACAAGCTGAAATAGTAGGAGAGCCACATAGACTTTTCAGCACTGACTGTATTCAAGCTGAGTTAAAAAAAGAAGTTAGATTTTTAGTGTTAACTTTCTGAGTTACAATAATGTTTATGTGTGCTTTGAAATATGGTGAAACCTGCTCTTAATTCCTATGTGAAAAATATATTTTTGCAGTCTTCTCCTGTGAAACAGTTAATAATCCCCCCACTTCCAAAATCCAGCACGAAAACTCGTGTAAGAGCAAAACTCTGAATTCACTAAGACCTGGTGGATTCAAATGAGTTAGCACAGAGCTGAACTCTTCAGCCTACAGTCAGCCCCAAAAGGTCGAAGAATCTTTCTGCCCAGGTACTCAAGAATGCACATTTCCATTACTGTGCCAGAGGCTTCAGAAGTCCAAAATAATTCTTTGGGCTTTATTTACTTTATTTTACGAAGTGTATTACATGAGCCCAAAGGAAGTATGGGAGAACCTGATACCTGAAGGTGGTTAAGTGCTCTCCCAAGCTCCTTGCAAAGCTCGGGATTTTGGTGCCTCGGAACTGCCTGTGGGGCTGATGTAGGTCTCTTGGAAGTCAATGAGAGAAACTCAGTGTTGGTGAAAGGGGGTTTGAATCAGCCCTCTGCATTATCAGCAGTCTTCTTAGAAGCTCCCAGGACCTGCCCAAAACTTAGAAAAACTCATTGACTTCCATCAACTTTGGATAGATCCTCTGTATGAGCTGGATTTCAGTTATACCATAGTGGTGATGTACTTTCTGTGCTTGCAAAACAAAAGGGTATTGTGTAGTTATTAGAATCAGTATTTTATTTTGAACTGTAAAATCCCAGCTATTTGCTGGGACCTCAGAAATTTTATTTAAGTCACATTTATGGCAGCTTTTGAATGCCTTTAACTAGATGATTTACTGCCCATTTTATGCAATTTTATGGCAGAAACTTTTAGAGGACCAGAGACGGCTTAAACGTGAGCAAGAAGAAGCTGATATTGCAGCTAGAAGGCACACAGGGGTCATTCCAACGCACCATCAGTTTATCACTAATGAGCGATTTGGGGACCTCCTAAATGTAGACGATACAGCAAAGAGGAAATCTGGGTCAGAGGTCTGTTTTAGTTACCTCAGTCTGCTGCTTGACCCAAAGCAATATTTGCCTCTCACAATGTTGTGCTTTAGGCCGACATTAGCTCTTCAGAGAATGTCGTTTGTTATTTTTTTCCACCTTCCCCTTTCCCATTCTGGCTTCATTTAGATCTGCTTTGACTCTTGTGCCTGGTAAATTAATTGGTATCTCTATCAAGCTGCATATGTTAAAGCATGCCTGCTGAGAATTGCTGGTGCACACCTGTGATGCATGCCTTTAAATAGCAGCTACTTTTAGTGAATCAAAGGCATTCTATATCTTTTGCATCATATTGCTACATTGTCTTCTTGTCTGTGCCTTATGCTTAGAAACTTCATGTCTTGTTGATCCTGGCCATGTGACTGTCTCATAGTTTTTTTTAGAAATGGATTGTTTCTTCTCCTCTTGAAAGATGCTTAATGTCCTTTAGAAACAATTGGAAAAAGTCTCAGCATGTTTCACTGCCTACAACGTGGTCGGTCTTTCTGAAAGAGACAAAGGAGGAGGTAGACAGTTTTCCCATGAGCCCAGGGCACTTTTCCCAAGGGCTGGATGCTAGTCCAGGTGTCCTGGCCAAATGCCTTTTCCTGCCTTAGGGATTGCTGCCAGGGCTCTGGACAGCAGCTCTGTTTCCCCAGAGGTGCTGCACTGCTGCGGTGCATGAAGCGGTAACCACGTGGATGGAGTACCCTTGTCTGCCCTTTATATGTAGTTTCAAATGGTCTGGTGCCACATGAATATGACTGCTTCTTATTTTATGCTCTGTTACTGAAATGACTTTAAAATTGTCTGAATATTTTGTGGCCATTAGAAAACCAGCCAAGTAAATCAAGCTTTAAAGCCTAGGCCTGCTGTCAACGTCCTCTTTGGCTTTATAGCCACTGAAGACATTTTTTTAGACACATGCTTAATTTATTCATATTTCCTCCTCACCTTTGTCTCTTTCCTACCAGTTTATACGGAGTACATGGGTCCCATTGCAGGATTCAGCAGGGTCAGGTAATAATCAATAAGACCCACATCACATAAAATCCTACTGTTTTTTTCCCAGCTATTAAATTTTGCTTTTCTGTTCACGTGTCAAGGGAAATTTGGTCCTAGAGCCCCAGTAACTGTAGTTACTGGAGCAGCTTTCATTCACCAATGTTTGCCACATTTAAAAGTTTACTGCTGTTAAATCAATTTTCTGTAGAGCTCTTAATTACTGTTATACTAGAAGTTGGCACTTTTTGCCCTGGTGGGAGAGACCCATCCAGCATATTTGGACTGAAGTACCAGCTGCACACAAGCTTGTAGCAGAATACCTGCATTCAATTTCTTCCCCAGACTAATGTTAGCTATAGAAGAGTTTGGATGCTTTTCCTCAGAAGAGGGTTGAAAACCTAATTATTATTTTAATGTGCTGATTTTTTTTGATCTCTAGATGAGACCTGCTAGAGCCAAGTTTGACTTTAAAGCACAGACGCTAAAGTGAGTACAGCTTGTTACTACTGCCTTGAGTGTTCTTCCTCTGCTTTTTCCCCTAGGATGCAGCATTTATGAAATGTCGTGCAATTGGATTCATGTTTTGTGAGTGTTTTTCCAGGAGCTCAAAGCAAAGGTGTCCATAGTAAGGCAGGGAAAAGTAATATGAATCTTGCAAGTCGTAGCCTCTAAAGGACTTTTAGGAAAATGTATTCTTTCTCAGTGCATCTGTATCCCATGTGATTCTTAGGGCAAACCTGCATTCTTTAGTCTAACAAGCGAGTGCTCTGCTCTGAGGGTGGGTGGAGCGCTCTGGCTGATGTTCCTCCTCGCATCTTGTAAGCAGGACGGCTGTGTGAGACCTTTCGGCAGCAGCTCTGTCACTGCCTTTGTGCTGGAGAAGGATGTGATTCCCCTGCCTAACATCCCTGGTTGTGCTCCAATTTCGGAGCTGGAAGAACTGTGTTGGTCAGTAGCTTACTGTGTAAATCTGCCATACAGATGGTCAGAACATAGATATACAGAACAGCAGCATCCTTTTCACTATGCTAAGCATAACCCAAAGTCTGCAAGAGACTTAAATAGATGCCTAGCTTTAAGCATGTAGGTGGGCCCTTGACTCAAGATTTTCCTGATTTGGGACTTACAAGGGTACAGAGTGGTCACTGCTCCCCTGGCATCTGTGGATACACCAGTGGATGTTTCTGGTGGCATTGTTGTACCTCTGAGCCCTGTTGCGGTCGCTCAGGTGAATCACACAGCACTACTTGTTCTTTTTGGGGAACACTGCTGTGAAGAGGCCTGGAAGGCCTTTCCCTCTGCCTGAGCCTGGGGAAGCTCTCATTTTAACATTGCTGAGGAGGGAAGAAAGAAGAAACAAATTCAGTGAAGGACCTGCTTTTTTTTTTTTTTCCAGGTGCTAATATCTTGGGAATATTTTGTTATATGTTCTATAGGTGATGATTTGTAATGATTTACACAGCATCTCCCCAGCACCTGTAATAAAACTGAGGCAGATGTAAGGTGTAACTGTTGTGTCCCTTGAGCAGAACATAACAGGGTGCCAGACAAAAGTAAAGGAGAGCTTGTGAAAATCATGTTAGGAAAGGCTGGGTTGGTTGTTGTCCTGTGGGGACGCAAGTAGTGGGTTTATGAGCCTAATACAAGCTGCCCACAGTGGGAGTTCCCCGAGCTGCAGACATTCATAATTTTAGCACTGAAGACAGTAGATTGAAGTCCCAGTTGTTAGCCCAGGTGAGGTCAGCGGTTGCACAATCACAGGCTGACCAGAAGTGTAATTGTTGCAGAATCAATATTGGCATGTGAAGGGGTTCATCTAATCAGCAAACTAGCTTCCATTAAAATCACGTGTCTCTTTGGAAGGCACTTGTGACATGACCTGTTTCAAAACAGGCATTGAGCATTGCTCACCATATCCAACGTGGAAAGCAGCCAGTGGCATCTTTTGCTTGAGCTTGACCCCATTGCTGCTGGAGGTTGTGTGGTTAGTAGGGCCCTCATAGGCCAGCTTTTTTGACAGGATGCCCAAAGAGCAAGAGAGTCCCTGCACACCACGATATGAACAGGATAATTCTCAACATGTAGCTGTCACTTTGAGTGGAGCGTGATTTGTATCAACAGGGCTGATGCAGACCTCGGTACCTGCTGGACAGAAAAGGAACACATCTGTTCTCCAGTGAAGTTCTGATGGAGTGCTTGTGTTTCTAACAGGGAACTTCCTCTGCAAAAAGGAGATATTGTTTACATTTACAAGCAGATTGACCAGAACTGGTATGAAGGTGAACACCACGGCAGAGTTGGCATCTTCCCACGATCATACATAGAGGTAGCTGATTTCCTTGCAGGTGTTCTCTTTGCCTACTGCCTTTCTACCAGTGACCAGTTTATGGGCTTTTTGTATGTAACTCATTTGATTCTGTTTGTTGATTCTAGCTCCTCCCACCAGCTGAGAAAGCTCAGCCCAAAAAGCCATCACCATTGCAAGTATTGGAATATGGAGATGCTATTGCTAAGTTCAACTTCAATGGGGATACCCAAGTGGAAATGTCCTTCAGAAAGGTAGGACTTCTGTTCTGTTGATGAATTGAATCCACACAAATGCTGAAGTTTTTTGACACTAGTAACTTGCAGTTTCCCAATGAAAGCCCCAATAAGATGAACTCCCTATTCAGGAAGGATTCCTTCTCGTCACCCATGTTTTTACTCCATAATCATTTAGTGCATTGCAGTGAGAGTGTTGCAGGCAGGCTGAACGAAGAAGTGCCAATTGCTTCTTTAGTGCTAGCTGAGAAGATACTTTGAGCACAAGTGCTTGGAAGCCTGGCTCTGCAAGGCAAATTAGATATTTGGTGACATGTCTCCAGTCTGATCCTCTCCAGTGGAGATGCACACAGTCACATGAGAATGGTGATATAGAAAAGAAGGAAACCAGGTACACCTTCCTCCGTACTACAAGCCAAATCATTGAGCACAGGCAAGCGAGATTCTGCGGTATTGAAGTGACTGGCTAGACCTGACTGCAGAGTGAAGGGATAGGAGTGGGTTGTGTAATGGCTGTTCAGAGCAAAGTCAGCTGTATTTAGATTAAGTAGCAGCATTTCTCCATCTCAAACAGCTTTCTGTTTTGATGCTCAGATTAGATCTTGTCTGTCTTGTCTTTTAATTATACATGAAGGTGGGGCTTGCAGTTTATATTAAGGATCTGGAAGTCACTTCATTTGTCAGCAAAACAGGAGAGAGCATAGAGACACCTAGTTTAAACTGCAGACCTGTGCATACTCCCTATACACCTCATACCCCTGAGAGTCTTGTGGTCAGCCTGAAACTGCTGGTTTCCCTTTTTTTAACTGGCTTTAGCAAGTTTATCAAGGGTCTTGAAAATGTGAGTGTAACTGAGGCTGCAGACAGCCCAAGTCAGCACCAAAAGATCTGCATTTTCTCCTTCTCTGAACTGAAAAATATCATTCACACCCAGAGGTTAGGGTTAGAACCACATAACTGCGAAATGGGAGACTGAGAGCCACCAATTGTTTTACGTCGGCTGCAACAAGATTAAATAAGTAATCTGCTTTGGAACGATGAACCATGTTAAAGTCAGGACTGCATTACTATTCCTTCCCATAGGGTGAAAGGATCACGTTGATTCGACGAGTGGATGAGAATTGGTACGAAGGAAAAATCTCTGGCACCAATCGCCAAGGCATCTTCCCTGTCACTTACGTGGAGGTGCTCAAACGGCCAGTGGTCAAGAATGCCATCGACTATCCTGACCCACCAATGTCCCTCTCCCCTAACCGCAGCATGACAGCTTCACCACAGGTATTTGGACTAGATGCAGCCAGTTACAGCACCTTGCAGACCAGAGGGATGTTGCCATTGCTGTGCAAGAAGCAATAGCTGAAAAAAGCTGTAGCTAAGACTAGTGTTTTGCACAGTAAAAGCCATGTGCTCCCTGTAGTATGCTGCAACTGCAGAAAAAGGTGATGTTTCGTTTACCAGGAAGGTTAATGAATGGGTCATTAGGGGATTTGGAGACTCAGCTTTTCATCTCTCATCTGTAGCTTGAATTCAGGCCAGGTTGAAAGGGCCACAGTTCACAGCTGTCTGAATAAATTTCACTGCCAGAGATGGAATGAATTGGTGATCCAGCTCCTCCTGAGTGTGTGTTTACACTTTACAGACCTCCACTGTGAGGAATGAATTTTTCATTATGACTATTAAAAGGGCTTCATAGACTGTTACAGTCTGTAGGAGTCAATATGTTGATCCCAGTCAGCTTGAATCAAGCTGTATACTTACTCCTGAACTTACGACCACGGTTTTGGGAGACAGGGTCAGGAGAGCGGCCTGTATTATTTGGAATTGGTACTAAATGAATTCAGGTTTTGAGAGCAGGCCAGTCTGGGATCCTCCATGAATATTAGATTCACTATAAACCATACTGCAGTTCAAACCAGAAGTCAAAATGGCAGTAGGTAATTGTATGGGTATCCCAGAATGTTTGCCATGGAAAACATATCAGGGAGGCAGAGAGTCTCTAAATCCCTTTGTTTTGCTCTCATCCTGCAAATACTCATGCTTTTGAAGGTCAGCATATGTTTCTGGGTCACAGCCATGAGGTTCTGGTGCACCCCCCTCTGACACACGGGACCAAAGCAAGGTCATTCTGAGGTCAAGACTGCAAGGAACAAAAGTGGAGAACCAGGATTGGGAGGAAGGGACATACAGTACAGGACGGATGGGACAGGCTGCCATGGCTCATGCCTGGTGTCTGTCTGGGTCTTCCCTAAAAGGAGTGTTTTTATTCTTAGCCGCTGTGTAAAGAGGAAAGACTCGTTGCTTGTTTGGGGTTCCCTGTCAAAGTGGACCTCAGCTGAGCTTTTCTGTTTCAGCTTGGCACTCTCTCCATAGCTGTGACCTGTCTGCCACCAGCTCTCTGCAAGCTTCTGCCTTTGATGGAAGGGATTGTATCCACCCTTTTTTGGTTTCCTTTGCTATTCTTTTGATTCCTGCCCTGGCAAATCAATTCTCTTCCTTACTTTTTTGCCTAACTTGGCAGAGGACTGAGAAATGTTCTGATCAGTGCTAGTGTAGCTGATCTCACTGTATGTCGCTGGTGGTAATAGCTAAGGGCAGAACTCAGTCATGTGTTCTGCCTCTATAGACACAGGACCTACTTTAATCACCTAAAGACCAAATAGCCACAGCTGGCTTTTTTGATCCCTTTCTCCTCCACAGCTTCAGCAATGCAGGTTTCTTGAGGAGCAGGCATTGCTCATGCTAGAGTTGGATAAAGTCAAAATTCATTGCAGCAGTGAATTCTGACTGGGTCCACAGTGTGAGTTGCTGGGGCCTCAGCTATTACTGCCAGGCCAGTCAAATGCTGCACACTGCCATCATGGATGGTGGCTTCAACTGCTCCCTGAGGGACTTAGGGCATATGGTATGAAGTCTAAGGTCTTCCACAAGACATTTTGTGTCTGGGATCCTAGAAAAGGCTGGAGAAGGGTATTAGCAGCACAGATACAGACTGGGCTCTGTGGTTGGAGTAGCTGTGGACAGCGCGTTCTCCAACACAGTGCACCTGTCTATGGAAAACTTATGCACTATGCTTGGTGACAGATCTGCTCCTCTTCACACTCACTCTCTCTCCTTTTACTTTTGCTCGGTCTTTTTGTATTTTCCTTTATTATTTTTTTGTTCATTTCTTTCTTTTTCTCTCCTGCTTTTGTCTCCTTCAAGTCTCCCAGCTCTGAGCTGCTCCACACACCAACTCCTCCGCCTTTGCCTTTTGCGCGCCGCGCCTTATCTCCAGAGGTGCAGGCGGTCACATCTGAGTGGATTGCTCTGACCGTGGGAGTGTCTCCTAGCACCACTCCTGCCATAACTCCTCCATTGCCTCCTCCGCCTGAAGCCTCCCTCTCTCACACTGACTATCTCTCGGCTTCTGCTGCAGCCAGCCCTTCCCCCATGGTCAGCCTCCACCATTCTCATCTCTCTGGCTCCTCGACTCCCAGGTCCACTAAATCCCCATGGCCCTCTTACTCATCCAGACCTCAGTCCTCTGCTCACAGTTCCTGTCAGGCCACTCTGCAAAGCGAAGAAAAGTTTGTTGGCTCCCCTTCTCCCAGCGTGAGCTACTCTAACTCCCCTCGCTGGGCAGTGGAGAGCCCCGAAAGCGTCCTCGCAGAGCAGCGTGACACCACTGGCAGCCAAGCCTGGCTCCAAAAGACTAGAGAGGGCAGCAGCAACCCCGAGCAGGGTGCTTATGCTGTTCCCAAGATCTCTGTCGAGCGTTGCCTGAAACCATCCCAACTAGACATGCGTGTGAGCCCAGAAAAGAGACCTGTGGGTTCCTCTGAGGACAACCAGTTGTGTCAGGAGCTAATGGCTATTGTGCAGGGAGGTAAAACAGAGAAAAGAGGCATGAGGAAAGGTGATCTGGGAAAGTTTCAAAGCGGGGAAAAGAAGGTACTTCTCCTGCATGTGTGTGTGCTGCTCTGAACCCCTGATTTTAACTGGTGTGTTGAGGTTTGTGCTGCTCTGCCGGCCAGGCAGAGCCAGTGGCTGGCCCCCGGCGTTTTTGTCTTTGGGTCAGACCTTCCAGGGGGCACCCG